CAAAGTTCTTCTGCAAATGGGGTTTGACAAAGTGTTCGTGAAATGGATATCAGCTTGCATCTCTACACCAATCTTCTCCTTCAACCCCAATGGTAAAATCAGTGGCTTTGTCTCTCCTTCTAGAGGAATTAGACAGGGGATCCACTATCCTCCTATTTGTTTATCCTTGTTTCAGAAGTGCTAACCAATCTTATTGAACAAGCAGTGAGAAGAAACAATTTCCATGGATTTAAGATGTCTAGAAATGGCCAAACAATCATCCACCTTCTATTTGCAGATGACTCTTTAGTCTTCTGTGAAGCCTCATGCCAGCAGAGCCATTCTCTTCTTGATGTTCTTGCTAAATACAAAAACTTCACTGGCTAAACAATCAGCTTGGAGAAGTCAACTGCTTTTTTCAGTAAGAACACACCTCTTTGACTTGCAGCAGCAAATTTGCAACATTCTACATGGTATATCAGTCCACAGATCATCCAGATACTTAGGCATGTCCTAGAAATTGGGAAATAAGAAAAAAAAAAAGTCTTTGAATCTGTGTTGGTTATTGTGAAAAAAAAGCTGCAAAACTACAAAATTCCTTTCTATCAACAGCAGACAAAGATGTATTAATCAAATATGTCCTTAATGTTGTCCCTACCTTCATAATGTCTGTGTTCTCACTGCCTAAAGGAATATGTAAGGACATTTCAAAGTTGTGTGCAAATTTTTGGTGGAGTTCTGGTGAGATGCACAACAAAGGCATTCATTGGAAAAACTGGAACTTGGTGACTACCCCTAAGGACTGGGGTGGGTTGGAATTCCAAGATGTGCAACTCTTTAATGAATCCCTGGTTTTGAAACAAATCTAGAGACTCCTGACTATGCCCAACCTGTCGGTGTCCAAACTTCTGAAAGAAAAATACTTTCCTAAGGGATCTGTGCTTGAAGCCCAAAGAACTCACAACTCATCCTGGATGTGGGACTGCTGGATGATAATAAAAAAAAATACCAACATTGTTTCAGAAGAGACATTAGGGATGGGATAAATACCAGAATCCTCAAGGATCCTTGGACACAAGGAGTCAAGCATGGGATCCCTAGCTTCAAAGATGGCAACATTGTACACCCAACTATGGTTTCTGAGCTGTTGGGTGAAGGGGGGGAGAAGTTGGAATGTGGAACTGATCAAGGAGTTGTTTGATGATTCTATGGTTACTCAATTCTGAAGCTAAGATTTCTTTACCCTACCAAAAAAGACAGATGGTCTTGGAATGTGGATGTCTCAGGTCTATACTCTGTCAAATCAGAACTCTGCATTTGTTAAAGACAAACTACTGAAATTAGATAGAGCTGAAGGCAGTGACTCATCTGACAGAGACAAAAATGTCAGATCAAGGTGCTGGAAATTGGACATTAAAGGCAAGCTGAAGCACTTTGTGTGGAAGTGCTTTACTGGCACTCTCCCAGTGGCAGGAAAACTTAAGCAGAGAGGTGTTGTGACTGATGAGATATGCAAATGTTGTGGTTAAGAGATTGAAATCATTGCTCACATTCTCTTTCATTGCAGCAGAGCTACAAAGTTGTGGAAGCTCTCAGCCTTAAACTGGGATTTTTGTAATAATAAAACTGACTCTTCAATGATTGGTGGTGGAGTGTATCTTCCCTGAGCAAAGCAGACATATCCGAGTCCCGTATTCAGCTTTCCACTTACATCCTTTGATGGTTGTTGAAAGTCCAGAATTTATGGGTCTTCAGAAATGAATGGCTTCCTGAGAAGCTAATAGTGGACAGTGCTTGGCGGGAATGAATGGAATTCAAAAACCGTACACTCTTCTTATTGATGTTGGGATGATACTGGGAATTTCTAGTTGATTAGGTCCCTTGTGTTCAGTTTTCAACTATGATTTCGGGTTTGTGTGTTTATTTCAGTTTTGTTTTTAGGTCTCGAGTGCAATACTTTGTCTATAGTCTTGTTTTTGTGTTGTTTGGATTTAGGGCATTGATGTTATAGTGTTCCTCCTTTTTCTTGGACTGTATTCGGATTAGTTAATCTGATGATTTGTACACTTCTTTTCTATTTATGAGATTTCCTATCGTTTCGAAAAAAAAAAATGCGGATCAAAAGATAAAACACAAATTTAAAGAACACATATGAACTGGCAAATTTCGATTCATAAAGACCCTATAGATTTATAGTTTTTGGCGGTAGATATAAGGTTGGTAAGTTCACCGAGCTTTTGAGCAACCGCTCCAATTTAAATTTTTTGCCTCAATTAATGAGCTGGTTAAAAAAAAAAAAATGATTGAATCTAATCGAACTTTAATCTTATGTGACTTACAACAAGTTGTGTAGGTGATGATTTTACAGCTATATTTATTTATTTATTTTTCTTAGTTTGCATAAGGTGGAAGTTGTGGCTTTTCATTTCTTAATTGGCGCTTTAATTTGAAAAAAAAAAATGAAAAGTTGTTAAATTAATTTATTTATGCATAACCTTGTCTTTCACCATGATATAGTGAATATTAGTGACTACAACAATTTTATAGTTTTAAATTTAAAAATATATAAGCCAAAAAAAGGAGCCAAAAGCACAACTGATGCAGTCGAAAGCGTACGAAAGACACGAGAGTATAGAATACTCGATAATAATATAATTTTATTCAATCATTCACCAACTTCTTCATCATATAATTACATAATTTATAAGAATTCTTGTGACTTTTGAAATGCTCCCTAATAATGTTTCTAGTTTTTAGCTAATATTGAATGTCTCTTTGATTTTGGTACTTTGACTACTACAAACTTCCATACTAACTTTAAGATAAAATAATACTATGAAGAGTCACATAAACATGCAACTCATGCACGACGCCTACGACGCTCGTATTTTTCCATAAACGCCAAAGCAAGCTCGTCTCCATCATCCTCCCCCAGTTGGGAAGGATTCGCCCTCGAATCCGAAATAAGCTCGTCTCCGTCCGTGTTCTCACCCAAATATAGCACCAAATGTGCCGACACCAGATTAGTACCAAGGCAGGAATCTCCAATCGTTTTCCCCTATCGTGCACGAAGGTTAAATGCCGTGCAACCAGTTCAACACTCCCCTCCAAAACTGCCGAACAATCAGAATGAAACAACTAGTGCACCGGCAAACTCTATGACATAAACGTGTTCTGGAAAAACTTTGACCTCTCTATATTCATATAGTTCAATTAGCTTTTGCATGTCCACTACAAGGGCACCGGTAGCAGCAAGGTCATAGAAGGCCTTGCCTGGGGAATCCAATCCAGTGGCACCCATTTGGTTAGTGTGTTCAAAAAATTTCATATCTTGAAATTGCAAGAGGATGGACATCTGGTCCAAAGTTCACCACGTCAAATGCTCCAATCCTATAAACGAAAGGTATCTTCTCCATGGCCTCGCAAAGATGTTTCTCCGTCAGTGGAGGCTCTTCATCAAAGATCGGTGTTCCATCGTAGAAATCACCCGCGTCGGGGTCGAAATCCAAGGATTCCTCATCAAAGACTGGCGGGCCATCGTAAAATGAATGGTCGCCCAAGTCACCATGCACGCTGTCATCCTCCCGATGATCTGGCACCTCGAACGGGTTAAACTCCTCCATCGTGGCGTCAGAGTCACCATGTATGCCGTGTTCATCCCCGTTGAATCGTCCTCCGTGAACCCCAAAAGGATTCACATCAGACTCCGTTTCATCATCATAGAACTCCTCGTCGTTGAACTGTGGAGACGGACGGTGGTGGGGCGCCCCACCGGAACCGCGTCCGCCTCGGCCACCATGATGTCCTCCGCGACCTCGCCGTCCCCCGACAAAGTCCCGGTTTGCGTGCTCGCCTGGAACAATGGTTGCAAGAGCCAAACGAATGTCCTGAAGCCCCACCGAGAGTTCTTCAATTTGACGCCCCATCGCCTCGATGGCGGCATCACGCTTGTCGTCGGCATTGTTGCATCTCGATGGCATCGAGGATCGTGTAGCTGGACTCTGGATACAAACTGATGCAGTCGAAAGCGTACGAAAGACACGAGAGTATAGAATACTCGATAATAATATAATTTTATTCAATCATTCACCAACTTCTTCATCATATGATTACATAATTTATAAGAATTCTTGTGACTTTTGAAATGCTCCCTAATAATGTTTCTAGTTTTTAGCTAATATTGAATGTCTCTTTGATTTTGGTACTTTGACTACTACAAACTTCCATACTAACTTTAAGATAAAATAATAATATGAAGAGTCACATATACATGCAACTCATGCACGACGCCTACGACGCTCGTATTTTTCCATAAACGCCAAAGCAAGCTCGTCTCCATCAACAACAAAAGAACAGCACTTCAGTCCCAGCAAATGTTTTTCTGATATATTGCAAGTTTACATAGTATAATTGTGAGACTAGATTATATTGAACAGCATGCCTGAGAAACTAGTGCCCTGAACTTTGCTCCTCTCTATTCTGTGTAGTTAAGCTAAAGTTGCTCTTTTGCCTCTTGCATCTCTCGACTGCACGAAAAAAACAGGCACGTAAATGATCCACACAAATCGCTAAGATATAAATTGGCTTAGGTGTCCAAAAAATCTATAAGATCACTAGAAATATACCACTTTGCGTATTAGCTCTACTTACAGAACAATCCTCAAGAGTGGGATATTTGCAGCACTTTGACGGGTTATTTTGTGTTCTGAAAGTTGATTAGATGAAACTTTAGGGGTACTTTTGCATTTTCGTTATTTATCAACCACACACGCACACCCAGCTACATCCTGTTGTGGCTTTCAAATTTCATCCCAAAATAATCCACTTATTTCTCAGTTTCTTCACATTTTGTCATTATTTTCGACCAACTTTATCTCTGAGTACGAGTAGTCAAAGAACATTCAGTACAAGAACTGATTGTGGAAATCAAGTCATTTTATGAGGTTTCTAATTTGTGAGGAACTTTTCAGGGGAGAGAGAGAGAGAGAGAGAGAGAGAGAGAGAGAGAGAGACAGAGAGACCTGTGCAGCTACCGACCGCTTGGAATCGAGAAATTGGCTGTAGATATCGTATAACCTACGCTTTTCGGCTTCCGAAACGGATGATTTAGCCTTGGATGCAATAGACTTCAAAAGATTTCCTGTGATCACAGGCATCTTTCCAGTTGGGCTGCTGTCCTCGCTGTCAAGAAGCTCGTGAACTGCTTCCAGCTGTGCATCTGAAAGAAGCGCTTGAAGGTCTGCTCCACTAAAGCCCTCAGTCATACGAGCTATGAGCTCCAGGTCGACATCAGCAGCCATTGGTAACTGCAGTTATATTTGCAAATTGCCAAGCGTTTAGATTTTGCTTATAATACTTAAGAAATGTAGAGGGATATAGATGCCGAATATATATTTAAAAAAAATAAGACAACTGAGTTACTTGCAATTTTAAGTTGAGAAGGAATGCAATTATGAAAATGTTAATATCAGCAACTTCTGTTACCGTAACCTACAGCACTTATGATGAAAATAATCTAAATATGATTTCTTATAATTTTCAAAGTTCGATGGAGGTTATTTGGTGATTTGGCTAAACCTGAATGATAATATATGTTATTATCCTCAACTATTTGAAAAAAGAAACCAGAAACTTTCCAACCATATTGAACATATATTGAAGAAATAGATGGGCAGTGAGCACTAACCTTTCTCGAAAGGACCTTAAGAATATCCAATCTCTCTTGATGGGATGGAAAATCACAAAATAAAAGCCGATCGAGCCTCCCGGGCCGTAATAGAGCAGCATCAAGCAAATCTGGCCGACTGATTTTCAGAAAGGACGTGATATTAATTATGGAAAGGAGAATGACTTCGACGATATGGAAAAATTGATGCAAGAAAATGTCAAAAAACTATGATACCACAATTAAGTCCAGAAGCATAACTTACCTTGTTGCAGCAAAAACAAATACACCGGTCAAGACTTCAACACCGTCTAATTCTGTCAGAAACTGGCAGATAATATGACAAAGGTATCAATCAGAGTTTAAAGAAAAAAAAAAAAAGGGAAAGAAAGTGAGATTGACAAAATGATGTTGCAAGAAAGCATTGGTCAGTATAAGAGAAACAGGGAACTAACTTGATTAACAACTCTATCAGTCACGCCAGTATTATCGTGCCCCCTCTTTGGAGCAATGGAATCAAATTCATCAAAGAAAAGAAGGCATGGAGCTGCTGCAGCTGCTTTTGAGAAGATATCACGAACCTGCAAAAGCACTTTCAGGTTAACCAGTAGCAAATACAATTATCTCATTCAAACATGCTATTATGGGTTAGTCAGCATTGTTTATGCAACAATTAATCCAAGATCATAATGTCCAGAAAAGTGATGACTGTATAGTTTCTTATTTTTTTGATTTTCCAGTTACCGAGATCCTCATTCCACTAAGAACAGCAACTTAACTTTCTCAACAACAGCAGTAAATGTTCTATAATCACTTCTATAGTTTGAACATTTGGCGCATGCTTTAAAAAAAAAAAAAAAAATATCACACACAAAGACACCTAAATCATCATGGAAACAAAAATGGTATTATCAGGAGAAACAATAAAAAAGAAAGATACACTAAATAAACAAAGATAATCATCAAGGCTAGAACACAGAAACTAAACAATGTGGACTGATATCTTACAGCTTGTTCAGAAGCACCGATATATTTGTTAAGCAACTCGGGCCCTTTCACTGAGATAAAGCGCAGTGAACAGGCAGCAGCAGCAGCGCCTACAATATGTGTTTTTCCACAACCAGGGGGCCCATATAAGAGAACATTGGATCTCATTCTTAGGGGAGCTTGTCCAAAGATGTTTGGAAATTTTGAAGGTAGCTCAATCATCTGATTCAAAAATAACAAATCAATAACATTCGATTGATATGTACCGATGTAAATCTGCTGCTTTCATGTAAATAATGGTTTGTTTTGAGTACACGACACAAAATTACACTCATATGAAACCCAACCATCCTCCTATGCGGCATGGAGAACTAAAACATTCTTAGATCAGAAACAAGCAAAAGTTTAACACACAATAAGAGACATCTCATCAACTAATCCCCATAATTAGATAGCTCAACTGGAGCAGCTAGCAATAATAACGATAACATTGTGAAATTAGAGCAGGACCAGATGTTGCAGCTTGTCCAAAATATAATTGTACACCAACAATGCATTTGTTCTTTGATTGAATTTTCCTCTGTTAACAGTCAAAATGCTCAAGCAATCATTGATTTGTTGCATATCTTTCAAACAAACATTTAACTGTGATCCTGCGTACAGAAGTTCAGAAAAAAGTTATAAATGAAATATGATATCACATGAAAATAGACATATATAAATTTCTTATTTATCGGTCTGGTCTGTTTCGTGCCAAATAACTCATATTCAACATCAGTGATGCATTCTCAAATGCTGTAAAAGAAAATCGTTGAAATAGGTAACAAGACAACAGCAATCAATATCACTTTAAGAGTAGCAGCCATTGTTGACAGCAAAGACATTCTTCAGCATCATACATTTTCAGGTGAATTTGAATTTAAATCACTGAACTATACAATGCCACTGCATTTACCTCTTTAATAGAATTCCGAATATCATCAAGACCTCCAACATCCTCCCAACCAGAGCGGCCACCTTCGTTAGCCGGTTTAGTGATGTCACGCATGGCAACTGGAAGAAAATCTTGCATTGCTTGCAGAAAATCATCCTTGACCAGAGTAGGTTGTTTCTCATATCCTCCAGAGCCCAAATCAGAAGAAAATGAGCGACTGATTGCGGAATGAACAGTTCTGTCGACCAGTACTTCCTGTAGCAGACAGATTGCACATCATAAACAATTATTTGTCCCAAAATAAGAGAAATTGATTTACGTAGATAATCAAAAGTTCAGGTTGGGATCAATGAAGTACCAGATCGTAAGCATCATATCCATCACATTTTGATGCTATTTCTGACAAAAGATCATCAGGACATCGCAAGGACCGTTTTTGGATCTCATTTCTTAACATACCAGAACGTTCAGCAGCAGCAGGTGCAGGCAGATTAACATGAAAGTCAAATCTTCCTGGATTTAATCAATGATAGGAGTAAGATCGGGTCATCCACATGAAGAAACCTAATAATATTTATCGGAGATGAAGAGTGATTAACCAGAAGAGCTCAAGCTCTGTGGGAAACTAGTCAGTTGTTGTACTGTAGCGAGGAATGCTATGGGGCCAATTCCACAGAAGCTCCTACGCTTTTCCTGTAACAATAGTAAAAATAAACATGAAAAAAGGGGGAAAAAAAAAACTAAGTCTGCGCAACATACTTTAGTTGCACTAGATCTCTTCTATGTCCTTCCATCAGTAGGAATCTCCAACTATTTGAGAAAGGACTGACAGACAAAATCATTTAGCTACTTGACATTTCATGTTCACGTAGATGAATTTTCGATGGATAACATTAGAACAAGATGCATAGATGGGGAAAAACAACCAAGAGTCAAAGAACATGCTGAGCCAATATCAAGTAATCGAAAGAAATGCCGGGAAGAGACAAAACAATTGACCATTCATACAAAGAAAATAAACTTATAAACACTAAAGCCCATGTCAAACAAAATATTGCACACTGGATTCCAAGGAATCATCAAGTACCGTATGTATGCAGAAAATGAAAATATGACAACATGAAGTCTTGCCTCATATTCATCCAATATATCAGCAAGAAACTCAACCAGTGCTGCAGAGGACGGTGAAGGTTGAGATCCCTCTAAATCCGAGGAAGGTGCAAAGAGGCTATCAAGATCATCCAAGATAATGAGAGAGGGAGCATGATCGAGAGCTTCTGAGATATACCCAGAGAGCGCTTGATGGATAGTTGAAGGCTTCTCCAAAGTGAGTTTAGAACAAGATACAAAAACTCTGTACAAGGAAATAAGCAATTCCGCAAATGCCCAGGTTAGCCATCCTCTCACATTACACAGAAATTCAATTGACTAACAAGAATTTCTACAGCACTAGCATAATGGAAAGTTCTAATCATAGCACCATGTTATAGAACAGCAACCAACTAAGAGCTCAAAAGCGATCTTACATGTGTGCCAAAATTTGTTCACATGCTTCAACCGATTTTGCGGAGACTTTAGCCAACAGAGTTTTCCCAGAACCCTACAACAATACCAATGACACAGATAATATTTATTATTTACACAACTTCATAGAACCAGAATTTGCATATTCCTAGTTGATCAGTTGATTATGGTGACTAACAGCAAACTTCATCATGTTAAGTATGACAATACTTTATCAGCGCCCTTCAAATCTATACTATATAAAAAGTCATCCCCATTTAGAATTAGTAGGAAGAAAGGTAACTCATATTAATTGCACGTCATATTTAGAAAAGTTTTTAGATTTTTTAAACCATAAAATACGGTAGCATTGAATGCCCGCAAAATTATGGGTTTTGTTGAATTCATTTTTAATAAAATCTGCATCCAAATTTACGTGTGGTTTTGAAGTGAAAATTTTAAATTCAAAACCTCTTCTCATTTTAGTTATAAGAAAATCGGGCTGCATTCAACACTTGGACCAATTTAAAAATTATTCCTTAAATGAAGAAATTTATAGATAATTGTTATCTCTACTCAATCACATGATTATTTTGAATATAAAAAGAGACAGATTACAAATTAGTGAATCATATATTACCTAATTCAATATCTTAACATTAAGGAATAAATCCATAGTATTATGTAAATTTGTATCTCATATTATTATATCATTAAGAATATATTATAGTTATATTATCAAATCATAAAAAGATATTAAATCCATACTTTAAAAAAAAAAAATCATATAATTTTATAACAATTACATAACACTATTTAACAGTATTCTTTTTATTATATAATAAAATAATAATTAAATATTATATGGTGAACAAGAATAAGTAAAACTGTTACTTTTTCTTATATCAGGGGATAAATTTATATGCTAAAATTAATTTTTTTTTAGTATAAACGTTTTAGTAAGATAATATATTAATTATTTTACAAGCTAGCCCTAACATGCTCATATTTAATGTTCTGACTAAAAAAAAACGTTGGTTAAAAGATATGGAAAAAAACTTACAACCTTATTGTTTTTTAGACTTAATTGATTAAAAGAGATAGAAAATAAATAATACCCTATTAATTTTTAGACTTAAACGGACAAGGCTGTGAAAATAACTCATTTAATATTTCTGTCTCGTGCATCGCACAGGTTACGTACTAGTTTATCCTAATTGCTTGAACATCTTAACTAGCTTAAATTTAACCCTGGTTTTGTCTTGGTCTTCGAATGGGGTTCGGAACATATGGAAAACCTCGCTTGGTTTCATAAAAAATGTATAATTGAACCAAATATAAAATATATTTTATATCTTTCCTTTAGACACAATTCACTCAAACCTTTATAACCAATCAAAAGACAATTATAAAAGTCAAACCATAAATATAGCTCGAATCCTTGAAATGCTGTCGTCTTCACTATTAGAACAAACAATGGATGATGTTTTACATACTCCTTTAGAAGTGTGTTTACATCACCAGAATTATGTTTAGAAGGCTCAGAAACTGCATTACAGAGCAGGGTTTAATGAAACTAACAATTTTTGCTTTATTTTGCACCTATTGTATTGTCTTATAGGCAGAATCTTAAATGGATTTTAAGTGTAAATCTCGGCCCACCTAAACTAAAATATAAAGCTACCTTTTATAACACTTACTGGAGGTCCGCAAATTAGAATATGCCCAGGCAAAGGAATATCATAGCTACTGAACAATATTCCAGAAGGAGATAGCAAAGCTGTCAACCCTGCAGATTAACAACAATTGAGGAAAAAAAGCTCGCACCATGAACAGAAAACCAACTGTTGAAACCACAATAATGAAGAATAGAAGAACTGATAATGATATTGTATGGTTTGTTGGGGGTTTTGGGGGGAGAGGAAGAAGGAAGGAATAATAATAATATCAACAACAATAAACTACACAGAGTAGGTCCTCTGACACTGAAATTGGACACGAGGCTTCCTTTTCCCTTCTGTTAATATGTGCTAGTAACATTTCGTGATGGTGCTAAGGCACACAGTAGTTTCCTTGAATAATTATTTTAGTATTTTAAAGTGATATCCTCATTAGATACGAAGGACTGGTATGCATTTACCTACTTTCACTATCTTGCTAATTCCAGGCTATAAAACTGCAAAATATCCCCAAATCACGTTTTGGGTTTCGTAAGCTTAAAAACTTACAGGTAGGTTACAAAACCAGCTAGTTGCTCCACCCATAAATGCTAACTTTCTAACATAAAGTAAGGACCATGTGACCACTCATCAGACTAAAAAAGAAACCAGGTGAGGAAATACCTACTGTAGCTTACATCAGCCAGGGCAGTACCCATCCAATCCAATGAAGAAATTGCAGCACTTAGGACATGGTCAGGGGGTGTCTCATGTTTTGCATGAGAGAAGAAGATATCACCAAGCTGCATCTTTCCAAGCATAACATCCAGACTTCTTGAAGAAAAATCTTTCCTGCTGCTATTCTCAAAAGCAAGTTCATACGCATTCGTATCTTTATCCCTTTGAGATTCCTCAAACAGCGACAAAATATAAAGGAGATCGACTGATGGTTCTTCAGCTTGGTTTCGGTTTCTGGACAATTTTTTCATAGATGTTTTTGCCTTGCCATGTCTATCCAGTCTCTGATCTCTGACTTTGAAATGTAGTAAAGTTTTGGTTCCTATAACCAATGAATTTACAGCCTCCGATGAGTTTGAAACAAAAATCTCAACCTGAGCTAGACACCACAGACGTAGAAGAGGTGATAAAAGAGTTCCGGAGACAACCTTCGCATTTGCATCTCCAGTCTTAGTAGTGGTCTCCTTACCCCCATCAGTGAACGATACAGAAGAAAGAGATCCGACAATCTTATCATGCACGGACAAATCACTAATACCCATTTCACTAAGCGGGCTAAATCTTTGAAGCACGTCTTCTCTATTATAGTTCTCAAGGTTGTTAGAACCTTCTACACCACTATCCTCGAAGACCTCGCTCTTTTGGAAGACCTTAAAATGGTAAGGTGAAATTGAAACTTGAGGAATTTCTTTCTTTGTGCTAATGATGCTCCTTTTAACATGTACCCCTGCAAGACGAACACCCAAATAAATTCCTCAAAGAAAAATGAACAGGCAATAAGTAGCACAAGAGGAAGAAGAATCGGTATTTGTAGGGCCAACATAGCAGAAACAAGAATGAATATAATGATTGAGAGTATTACTAAATCAAATGATCCAGTACAGCAATATCATTCAATATTCGAAGAACTTACAAGAGTGCAGTTCTGCTCCCAAATAGAGACGAAGAGATTCGGATAGCATAATGTGTCCTTTTGCCACCGCCTCGGACAACAAAATACGAATCACCACTTGATGACTACCCTGATTATCAGTCAGGTCACCATTACTAGCTTCCTTTTGAGTTCCATTGTTTTTAGAATGGTTCTTTTTTTTAATCCTTTCTAATCCTAATCGAGGAGATATCACTACAAACTGAAGTGAACTGAATGAATATTTGTTGGCTGTTTCTGGATGAATGAAAGCACCAGAAGTGAACATTACATTCATTTTAACACCATTCTCCTCACATTTGTAAATGAATACACTGTCTGCATCTTGAACTCGCAACTGTGCTTTTGAAATTTGACAATCCTCCTCTGAACATTGTACAGATGGACTTCTGCGTCTTTTTGGAGCTACTGCAACCTCTGTTCCGGGCACAAGTTGGACTGAAATTTTTTTACAAGTCAGGTGAAGGATACAAGAAAGTAACATTCTGTTAAACACAAGTTCCATCAAGAAAAATCTTTCTCGAAGCAAGAAATTAACATCGCAGCTTAGTGGTGGTGCCTGAAAAAATCAAATATTTGCTCTAACTTCCACGGAAATATTCGCCAAACCAGTGGTATAAAAATTAAAATTTGCAGTTACCTACTGTTTTCTGGGGAAAGGTTGACATGACATGAAACATGACAACTGTTTGTCCATGCAACCACAATGGGAATCTCATTTCTTCATGGACAATTCCCACCTGCAAGCAGTACAATGTGGGTTGTAAGTGCCCAACCACAACAATACCCATCTAAAAATTTCTCAAGCAACATTGCATTTATGTAAATCGAAGTTCACACAAGCCTTTGAAAACCCAAGTATGCACAAGTAAATTTTTTTCATCTCTCCAACCACAATACCAAAACATCCACAAGTGCTGCGTTTACAGCAATTCCAGTACACTAAATCTCCACACACACACACACACGCACGCGTGCGCTTACACACACACACGCGCGCGCAAAAAAAATGCCAGCGTAGGCCGAAGCATATCACCTGCTTCAAAATAGCGTTCTCAGCAAGCTCAGAATTGAGCTCCAAAATCTCCCAATCATCCTCTGTTAGCGGCTCGATTGTCACCAGTGTTGCCTTGGGCAAATTACTGACCACTCTCACTTTAACCACAGTCCGGTCACCCAATCCAATGCAATCCGCATACTGACGAGCAATCTACAGAATTCACCCCGCAAAATTCCAGGTAACACGCATATCATCTACACAATTAACCAGACCAACTCCAACAAAAAAAAAGGAAAAAACCGATAGCCTTCTGACTTTACTTTTTAACTTTATTTACAGTACCTCAATTGAATAAGGGGAGGAGGAGGCTGCGCCGCACCAAGCCACCTGCCAGAGGCGCGCGTCGCACCTGAGCTCGACTGCGAGAATTGGAGGAAGATAACCGGACTGGAGAGTCTGGATAAGTGGTAGAGGAAGAGAGACGAAGCAGCTCTCGATCCCGCCGACGACTCTCACCTCAAACTCCATAGCCGACGAGCTCCAAATTCTACTGTTCAGTGCTTCAAGAACACGACTTTTGAGGATTGCAGATAATATATAAACAAAAACACTTTTGTTTGTTGCATAGGGAAGTGTGTATGCTTACCGAAGCTTCCCAGTAAATTTAATGGGCCTAAGTGTCGGCCCATTAATTTATTTGTGTGTTAAAGAGTAGTGTTGTAAATGAGACGGGTATTTGTGTGTTAAATAGTAGGGTTGTTAACGAGCCAAGTTGTTAACGAGCCAAGTTGAGTATGTGCCCGAGACCCAATCCCTGCTCGGCGTGATAAATAAATGAGATAGAAATCGAGTTCCAATTCAACTCATTTATCAAAATTAATGAGTCGAGTTCGGACTTTTAACGAGCCGAACTAGAGTTTTAACAAGTCAAACTATAGAAATTATATACCAATTTTTTTAGACTTATCGAGCCAAGTCGAGCCGAGCCTGGCTCGTTAACAAAATAAGCTTTAAGCGAGCTCGAGCTTGGCTCGTTTATCAAACAAGTAAAGCCGATTTCGAGCCTTAATAAGTCAAATTCAAGCTTTAACGGGTCGAACTATAAAATAATTATACACGAACTTGCTTTTTGAGACTTATCGAGCCGAGCCCGACTCGTTAATGAAATGAGCTTTAAGCGAACTCGAGCTCAGCTCGTTTATCAAATAAGTTGAGCCGAACTCACAAGTAACTCGTTTTATTTAACAACTCTAATTAAGAAAGCCAAAGATAGGTTCGAAATGGAAATAAAAAAGTTTATAGTCAAGGTGGGGTTAAATAGAGATTATTTTATAAAAACAAAATTGTAAAAATGAGTAAAAGAGATTTTTCTCTTGAGGGATAGACATGCCGAACAAGTAGTCTGATGTGTAGAAAAAAATAATAATTTAAATTGATGTGATATATAGAAAATTTTATGAATGTAAAACTCCATTATATATAATTTTCGAATACACTGAGCTTACGTGGCTGCTTATGGTGCTTCGGAATCCTACTTGGCGGAGAATCATGCTTCGTAATTAGGTTTGGACAAATAATATTGATATATTAATAATTAATAATCTAAGTTCGGACATTCCATAAATATTATTTAGCTAATTTAGGTATTTTAATATCACTTGTACTAATATAACCCTATTCTTTATAATTTTACATAGTGAGACACTAAGTGACTAATATATTCCTGACTTTTGATTTGTTTCCTTCAGTTAGTTATTGAATTATAAATGTATTTTAAAAGTTGATAACTTCTGTATTTCTTATCGGTTTTACATATATAATATATCAAATTAATAATCTTTTCATGATCTTCAATTTGACATTCATATTTTATATATAAGATAAATAAATTATATTTATCTTTATAATAATAAAAAATAATAATATTTATTAAAATTTAAGAAAAAAAAATTATTTTTCAGTTGATATATTTATGTTTAATGTAGTTATATGTTGTAAGTTAAAAAAATTATTATACTATAACACAAGTAAGTCAAACAAATAAAAAGTGTCATACTAAATATATAATAATATATATATTTTTATAAAAGATATTTAAATTTTCAACTACTTTTTCTCATTAATTTTAGATTTTAAAGAAAAATTAACAAACGCCCGTGTAATACACAAGTGTTGTACTAGTACAATTGGTATCTCAAAA